ATCAAAGTTAATAAATGAGCTCTCCAACAAAAAAAAAACACATGAAAGCCAACCTGAAAAACGGTACGCAAAAAAAAACAATCAAAAGAATAATTAAACGCTTTAATTAAAACAGAGCTTGGGGCGGTCACCCTATTTTTAGTGACTCTTGACCTTTCCCCGGTGCGGAGCGACCTCGGCCACGTGGCATGATCAGCCCTTAAGTTTCTTCTACAACGACTTACCTGCATTTTAATAATATTTACATATCTAATTTTTTACACTACGACAGAAACTGACTGCGCTTGTAAATTGATATGACGACTTGTTTTTAAGTAATTCGTATATTAAACTAAGCTAAGCCCAATTAAAGATTCTTAGTGCTTAAAGGCAGACGAGTGGTCATTGTCGGTTGTAGATATTGAGGTTGTCGTAGCCTAGAAAATTAAGTACCCGGTGTATTTTACTGCATATAGAAGCAGATTGACCGCTTTCTGTAAATATTATATGCATGCATTGTAAAATATATAATACCTACTTTTTTTTTTATTGCTTAGATGGGTAGACGATCACACAGCCCACCTGATGTTAAGTGGTTACTGGAGCCCATAGACATCCACAACGTAATGCGCCACCCACCTTTGAGATATAAGTTCTAAGGTCTCAAGTATAGTTAGAACGGCTGCCCCGCCCTTCAAACTGAAACGCATGACTGCTTCACGGCAGAAATAGGCAGGGCGGTGGTACCTACCCGCGTGGACTCACAAGAGGTCCTACCACCAGTGGATCCACCTACTTATAAAGTTTTAAGAAGAAATTATCTACGTGATGATGGAAAACTGTATCGAAATCTGTTTAAAGGAAGTAAGCGCCTACATAAACAAAAAAGTGATTATATTATAACCATATCTATTTCTAGTAAAAACCTATGGAGTTCCACTTTATTCTCGGTCATGAATAGTAAATAGGGTTTCGACGTAACTCAGCTCATACTTCGCAAATGAGAAATGAATTTACAACTAAAAAAGAAAACACAAAAAAATCTCACTCCGATTTTTTTTTTAATTCTGTTCAGGGTGTTAAGTCAGCAGCAATAAAATGACTGTTTCATTTCGATTCTTAATACGTGTGCTAATTAATCAGTCGCCTTGCAGTAGATGGAAAATACGTTTAAAGATTCCCATAGATCAAGCTAATAAAACTAAATTAACATGAAATACGCATACAACACGCAAAATTCCCATACATCACACAATAGTCGTACAAAATTAATATTCAAAAAAAAGAATTTATATCTTTAGAGCAGCTTAAACTAAATAGTTCGCATCAGAATGCAAATGAGTTTGCTATTGGAATTGGTACTCTTTGTTGCGAGACTGGTCATCTTTGCGATTTGCGAGATTATTGAGGGGTCACAGCGTGTAATATTCCCATGCATTGAATCATTCTATGTTCGTTAACCGTGAGATAAACATGATCAACTCGTCTGTATAGATAGATGATCTTTTCAATTGTGCTACCTAAATCATGGATTGGATTTCGGAGTTATTTCAAACGCATACTTTCAACAAACCTAAGGTACGTCCGATATTTGTTCAACAAAGTCCTAACTTAGTGTCAATTTTAATTAGTTCTTTAGTATAAAACGCAGATTAATTAAGCTTTTTTTAACAGATTAAAATAACGTAAAATTATAATAAGTTTTATGTAATAAATATATTTATGATTAGGTTAAGCCTTAATTAAGTAATACGAATGAAACAGTCGTTGTAGTAAATTGTAATTTTCAAATTAATTTATCAAATAAACTGCAATCATTTCCTAATAAGATGTCTTTGTTAAGTAAACTATTTGTATATATATTTTATCAATTTACTTAAACAGACAAGTCTTGTATTGACTACTTAAAGCGTACGTAGCAAAGCCCCCGCCATTTAAAGCAACTACCGTTAATCGGTTTCCAATATTAATCTAGTCTGCTGAGAAAGCATTTTAGATAGATCAAGCACAGTACATTCAAACTGTACCGCAGTTGATGTATAGCAAAAACGAACGGCATTGTGGAACAGCTGGTCGCGCCTACCACGCATTAACCTAACGAGCATCCCTAATGGGGCACGTTAGGGTTACCAGTAAAGAAAAACCTTCGAATCGTATAAATCAAAACGACCCAGTTCCAAAAACGTGTCACACTTATTAGTCAACTGACAAAAAATAAAGCTTATCTCCGCAAATATACACGAAACGTGACGTGCAATGACGTTTATTAAGTCACGAGCTCGTATTAGGCTTTACGGTGAATAAAGAATATAAAAATAAAATCATATAGAACTCACAGACATTATTATTTGACGAGGTTGTTACTGGTGAATAAATATAAACCTATAAAAATACCTATAAATTTATAAAATAGTTTATAGGTATCTTTGTAAACGTTTTGTTGCGGACTTCTTTATTTTATGTGTGTTATCTGTGCGAATATAGACTAATGTCACTGATAATTATAAATTACTAGCGACCCGCCCTCGCTTCGCTTCGGAAACATTAAAACACACATGAAATCAAAAAAATAAAATAAAAAATTAATAAATAAAAGTAGCCTATGTTCATCAGGGACAATGTCAGCTTCTAATGGAAAAATAATTTTTCAAATCGGTCCAGTAGTTTCGGAGCCTATTCGAAACAAACAAACAAATCTTTCCTCTTTATAATATTAGTATAGATCAAATATAATTCATTCTGTTTTATAAAGAAATCTTATTAGAATTTCATTGAAATACTACCTAATTCCAATACTTACCACGATTTTCAGATATTACAATTATGTAAATAATTAAAAAGCATATGAAAACCGTTGTAAGAAACCCTTACCTGGTAGACAGCCGCGAAATTTTAAACAAATACAGAAGTTAATTTATTCTTTGAGACGACTTACTAATTATAACATGAGAATGAACGAGGACGGGCTCTCAACACTTGGACTTTTCCTCCAATTTTGCAGTCACCAGATACTTTTATCTTAGGTATCGAGTAGAATAAACAAAAACTGTAACATCAATCGAAAGCGGATAAAGTTTTCTTCGGGTTAATTTGCCGATTTACAACAATGTAAATGTCAAATGATGTTCTCTGAAAATATATTGAGTATCCCTAGCTATTACATTATATCATATCAACACGATAACACGCGACGACAGTATACATTTCTAAGGTAACATCCAAAAACAAAGTAGAGAAGATTAGACATATTTGTCTATTCCTAACATCCTAACTGCAGTCTTCGTTCTACCTGTGATCATGGAGCTAGCAACAAGTCAAAATATCGGGAACTTATTAAATGTGAACATCTTGATAAGAGCCTGTTAAATAATAGTATTGAAAATGTAAATAACCGCTAAAGTCAAACAATAATTTTTTTCCCTACCTTGTCTCTCCTAAGCTGATGGTCTTGAGAGACCATTTCAGCGTAACACTAACCCCAGCAAGAGCAGTGCTTCGCAGAATCTACCACCGAAACACGACCCACTGAGAAGATCCGGTGAGAAACTCAGTGGGCTGTGTCTGTGCGTTAATTTACTCGCCGAGCCCTTCCTCGTAAACGACGGGTTCGACGAAAACGATGACCGCGACAATCAGCAAAACAATCTTGTCAATTAGATACTAAATCAATAAAAAAATGTAATTCTGGACGCTGATACCACGTGCTTACAGCCCTGCTATGGGGTCCTCATTATGATTATTGGCCTCGTTCTCGTAATAAATTAATGTTTTTAAATCAATTTCCGTTAAATTTTAAATGTTTTTAAAAAAATGTTTTTAATTCAATTTTATGTATTGATTTTACATTTCCAATTATCTTTTCTTAATTTAAACTGTCTCACGTTTTCATTCATAATCCATTGTTTGACTTAGTTTGAAATTAAGACTATCCAATTATTATTATTCAGCTTAGTAAAGTTAATCGCCTTAAAAAATTCAATTTTTAATACATTCTGAATATGTATGTAATATATACGAATTCGAGTAAAATGTAAAATAAGTATCAAACTTTGTATCACTATGATCATTACTAAAACTTACAATAATTATCCTCTTTCCGAAATTTTTACATTCGTCTCATTATCTTGAAGCCAACATTTTTAAAGGTTTCACTTGTACCACGTGTGAATTGCACACGTTTTTTTTTCTTTTACGCTGGTAGCCTAGAGGCAATTCCAGCTACGCCCGAACGGAAAAATCCAATTCATTTATCTCTTGCGTTCAAAATGCAGTTTTATAAATTCCTATTCTAAAATATTACAAAAATTTCTTTTGAACCATTAAAAACTCAAAACTTCTGACTGTCTTCGGTCCATAAATGTACCAAATAAATACGCTTAGCCCAAATGTTGACCTTTAAAACTACTCCGAGAACTTTTGCGTGTATGTGGATATTACTAAAGCAATTACTTCAATGCCTTAACGACTTTTAAGGGAGCAGAGTCGTTAAGTTACAGTTCTTCATCTGCTCAGTTGCGCCTTGGGTATCATTTCAATGTTATTGTTATAACAGACAACAGTCGCTTGTAACAGCTTACCAAGCCGGCCCTAATAGCGAATAATTTCGCGCCATTTACTGATGCCTGAAATATTATAACAATCTTTTTTTTTCATATTTCAAGTGGCAATGTAAATAATTATTATGGAGCAAGCAAACTAACCACGCGACGCGTTGAATGATCCTGCGGTACAACAACATACTCCACAAGTTTACAAATTGTATATAAATATTAAAATTTTCAATTTATTACTGAAGTCTCGTATTCAAATTCAACTTCAAAACAAATTTAAATTGTACGCTAATTTCACTATCAATTTCGTTTTCGCTGAGAGGATTTACTCAAAATACATTAATTAAGTTAGAATATTAACGAGCTATTAAAACTGTAAGCTGAAGCTTAAAAATAATGAAGTACTTAAGTAAACAAGTATCTAAGTTGAAAGTCTTCTGGAGGTTATAAAGGGCGTAATGACTTTTTCAGGCGCAACAAGGAAACACGAAATGCGGCGGTGGTGCTAGTGCGAGCGGGTCCCACAGCAGCACAGCAAGCGGGCCGATACAAAACGCTTCACGTACTAACGACGTCAAACCAGTCGAATGTAACCTCTGTCATCGGAAATTCAAGAACATACCCGCTCTAAATGGCCACATGCGTTTACACGGAGGATACTTCAAAAAGGTAATTTCATATCACTTCATTCTTGTCAATAAGAACAATATCGTTGCATTGTTAAGTTACAAAAATTAAACATCTTATTATAATCCATTTACCCGAATATCTCGCACTTATAACGAACTGGCAAAATCGTCAACTAAATTAGATATTTTTACATAATAATATAAATTAGCGAAGTTTATAAAAATGATCAAGGGCATCATAGTAAATTAGTAGTAAAGTAGTCTTAATAGTAAAAGTAGTCTTAATAGTAAATTAGGTAGTGTAATTGTTTAATGTGATTTCCTTTGTGATTGTGATTTATTGTTACTTTCTTACATTAAAAGTTGAATTGATTTTCGTTATCATGCCGTCTTGTCCTATAGTTCTAATGTCCTGATTACTTATGCGCGCATGGCTTAGGTTACAAGCCAAATTTTTTACTTGTTGTTATTTATTATGTATCTTTTCTTGTTTAGATTGTAATGTGTATTGTGTGCCTAATATAAATAAATAAAATTAAATAAGTAATACCAGTAATTTGCCTCAACTGTCATAGTATTTACGTTTTCAGGATTCAGATAGCAAAAAGCTAGATAAAAAAGAAACGACCGGACCACCTCTGCAAACAGCATCCGTCTCGGTTCGAGCACTCATTGAAGAAAAGATCATTAGCAGACGAGGGGCCACGGCAAGCTCGACGAATTGTACGTAAATTCGATGCGATTTAAAAATCATTTAGCCATAACACTGTTTTAATTAACAATATATCTAACAGCCGTCTGGTGTAGTGGTAAGTGATATGGTCACTACACAAGGGGGTCGCGGGTTCGAATCCCGCCAAGGGAAGATATTTGTATGATAATTATAAAATGTCTTTTCCAGGATTATGGATGTATATTAAATATATGTATGTGTATTATAAAAATCTTACATTTATTTCCGTTATCTGGTACCTGTAACACAAGTTCTTTACGAACTTAGCACGGGACCAGTTAACGTGGCGTGATTGGTTAGTAAATATTTATTATTTATATCACAATAGGTACGAGTACGGATACTGTAGCCTCACGTTCTGGTTTCGTTGCGCCAGCGCCGCCACCGCTGTCAACGATACGCGCGTCACCCTCATCACCCGCCACTACGTCGGCACAGTTCGTACCGCCACGGGCGCCATCCGCCGTCACTGTGGCCGCGAACTTATCTACTAACATGAGCGCCGCACAAAGGGACTCTACTCTAATCGAACTCTTGAAGAAAGGGAACACTAAAGTAAGAACAAGCACTTTATGTTAGTACTTATTAGTATTACTGGTGGTAGGACGCCATTATGAATGTGAATAAAGATACATTTTAATTGCAATAGTCGTAAATTTTCTTTTTCCAATTTAAAAAAAAAAGTGGCCATGTCGATAACTATTTCATTACCTAAGTGAAAAAAAAACATTTGGAAGTATTTTTTTTATTTACTGGTGGTAGGACCTCTTGTGGATCCGTGCGGGTAGGTACCACCACCCTGCCTATTTCTGCCGTGATGCAGTAATGCGTTACGGTTTGAAGGGTCGGGCAGCCGTTGTAACTATACTTGAGACCTTAGAACTTATATCTCAAGGTGGGTGGCGCATTTACGTTGTGGATGTCTATGCCAGTAACCACTTAACACCAGGATAGGTGAACTCGTCCACCCATCTAAGAAAGAAAAAAGCTTGCATATGTACTGCCTCCTCCGATGTTTCAGTTTTCAATGATTTTAAATATTACACAGGCTGTCAAACGATCGGCATCGGATCCGGGACACGCATCGCCACAGCAAGACTACACTTTTCGTCCGGAACTATTCGGGGTGTCCTTTAACTCTGATGACGGGTATTTCTCGCCGGCACTAAACGATGACACGTTTCAATTCACCTCCGCGCCAGACCAACTGGAAGATCTAGCTTCGTTGGAAGACTACGCAACTGTGGCCGCTTCGATAAGAGAAAGATCCCCGGTCACATTCCCGTACAGTCGACGTCTGGCTGCGGTTCTAAATTCACCTTTGCCGGAATCGTTGGCGGATTTTGGGGCATGCCATGGTGGTTCGCCGGTGACCTCGCCCGGTATCGGATACACGGCAAATTCACCGGGACTATCGTATACGACCGGGGATTCGCCGGGCTTAGCGTACACAGCAGCATCGCCCGGTGGCAGTTATTCAACGCAGCCTTCGCCCGGTTTTACTTACCCAACGCCACCAGCTTCTCATGATGCTCATTCTCCGGCACACACAGTTCCTCGAGCGTCATCACCGCTATCAGCCGCATTTTTCACTGCCACTATGTCCAGTCAAGAAGAGGTAAATTTAGATCCCAATTATGTTATAATACTCGTAGTTAGATACGGTAGTTCCTCCTTAAATTCAGAGCTTAAATAAAACATTCGTAACAAGATAAAGTACAACTATTTAATTCTAATCATAAGTCTAAAATTGATTTATAAAGTACTAACGGCCCGCTCCGGCTCCGCTCGGGTCTTTAACAAAAATTTCAACGATATTTGACGTTGTTTTATTTTTTTAAATAAAAGAACACATATTGCGGCATAACTATAATAGTTAGACATATGCTGTCGCGACACTTTTTGTAAATACCAATGTGTTCTACTACAAAATCGTAGCACGTTATTGGAACGAAGTTCCTTATCGCGCGTTGTGAAAGGGGGCTAGACGGAAAAAAATCTTACGAATAGTTGTCACGACACTTTTTAGATCCGTCATTCTGACCAATCAACGTGTAGGCGCTTATCGCGTGACATTGCTCGTATCCGATTGGTCCACGTAATGAGTACAGTTTCTCGAGATAGCGTTTCAACAATAGTAATTTAGTTTATAGTATTGTTTTTTTCTTCTTCATAATGCCGTAATTTATTATTACAACCTAAAAAAAAAATTACAATTCCTTCACTAATTAATCGAAAGGAACTTCGTTCCATCCGGGTGTCCCTTGACACCTCTGAAGTTTTTTTTATTCTATCATCAATAGTTTTCGCAGGGCACACGATGTAAAGAATATATAGAAAAAATATACATTTTCATCAAAACCAGTCCAGACGAATTATGCGTGGAGCTCGAACGAACAAAACAAAATTTTAAATTATAATACAATTTACTCGGAATTGAGCTTTTGAACATCACAAATGGCTTGTTCTATATTTGTTTTTTTCTTTCAATGTTATCGTAAAATATAATGAAATCTATATATAAGTATATAAAAATGAATTTCTGTTTGTTAGTCTCGCTAAAACTCGAGAGCAGCTCGACCGATTTGGCTAATTTTGGTCTTGAATTATTTGTGGAAGTCCAGGGAAGGCTTAAAAGGTAGATAAATATGAAAATGCTCGGAATTAAATAAAAATAACAATTTTGTTTTTCCTTTGATGTGTCCCCCGTCGGACGGATTCCTTTTTTTTGTTTCAAGTTTATTCTATACAAAAGTTTAGGTCTTTTATTTATCGATTGAGGCACTACGAAGCCTGCCGGGTCAGCTAGTATTTACTACAAAAATGAGATAAATTATGTATCGCGGTTGATTTTGATGTTTTAAATTTAGGTTGAAGAAGCTTTAGAAGAAGTTTTACCGGAGGAATGCAGGTCACTTGATGCCTATTCACTGGAGCCTTCGCAAACGGCACGCCGTATCATGCTTAACTCAGAAGACCCTTTGCTATCGAGCAGCCCCAGAGATTTCTCCCATCAAAGAATATTCAGGCGTCAACATCGGAGCGTCGTAAATACTACTGGACATCTACAACAATGGCAACATGATAATTCACTTCAGGTATTTCAAATATTTTAAGCACAAAATGCAGAACAACAATACGATGGAAGTCGTCGTGGCCTAAAGGATAAAACGTTCGGCGCATTCGTGTTGAAGCGATGCCACGGTGTTCGAATCCCGAAGGCGGGTGGTACCAATTTTTCTAATGAAATACGTACTTAACTAATGTTCACGATTGACTTCCACGGTGAAGGAATAACATCGTGTAATAAAAATCAAACCCGCAAAAATTATAATTTGCGTAATTACTGGTTGTAGGACATCTTGTGAGTCCGCGCGGGTAGGTACCACCACCAACGGCGGATCCAGGGGGGGGGTCATGGGGGTCATGACCCCCCCCCCCCTGAGCTAGTTCCAGGACTTGACTAACTTGGACTAATTGAAGAACATCATGATTTATTTATTATCTATTGTTATCAAAATTAAATTATAAGTTCTTAACTTGCCCACGACTAAGTGACCCCCTCCTGGCGCAAAAGCTCCGCGCAAAGGATCCGCCCTTGACCACCACCCTGCCTATTTCTGCCGTGAAGCAGTAATGCGTTTCGGTTTGAAGGGTGGGGCAGCGGTTGTAACTATACTGAGACCTTAGAACTGATATCTCAAGGTGGGTGGCGCATTTACGTCGTAGATGTCTATGGGCTCCAGTAACCACTTAACACCAGGTGGGCTGTGAGCTCGTCCACCCATCTAAAAAAAAACTATTTTCTTTATAGGTCTGCGTTGAAGGTCGAGATACGGTACCAGCTGTGTTCTTAAGTCCGAACAGTGTGCCGGCGTCACCACAACGAAGGAAACGTCGAGCGTCACCTGCAGGTCCTTATCGGTCAAGGATGCGGAGAGCTATCAGTCACTTCACGCCGCAACCGATGCTACCACCCGAACGCGATGGCTCTGGACTATATATAGATTTGACGGCTGGTAAAAATTCGCAAAACAATATCTCTTAAAAAAAAAAAGTAAATAATAGTTTAAAAAAAATAAACAAAATACGCTTTTATAGAAATTCCAACTAAAAAATAGAATATGAATTTTAATAAATTAGAATTAAAAAGTAGTGTAAGAAAAAAAATTTTTATTGTAAAAAAGCGTGGGGTGCATGGTATCAGTAGTTATAAATATTTCATGAACAGATATGAGTAGAAGGGTCATTTTGATAATATCCTGAAAAGCACCCCACGATCTTTTAAAATAAAATATTTTTTTCTTACACTACTTTTTAATTGAAATTTATTTTCTATTTTTTAGTTGGATTTTCTATAAAAGCCTATTTTATTAGTTTATTTTTAAACTACATATTATTTATTTTACATTTTTTAGTTGAATTTAAATTGTTTCAATATTTTTTTTAAATATTGAATTATCATCGGTACTTATTAAGGAATAAGTATACCAAATTTCGAGTTAATCCGACGTTTTGAAGGGGGTCAAAATCATGTTCAAAGATTCCGTTACAAACATACATACTTAACATACATACGTCTGAAGCTAATAATAAAAGCGTATTAAAAACATATTCCCCTAAAAACAAATTATCGTTTCGCCTCAGGAATTCTATCAGAAAACGATGGTTTATCGCAAACGGAGGACGTTCGGAAGCCGCAAATAAATATCGGGACTAATTTCCAAGCCGAATTGCCAGAGCTGTACAGCGATCGTGATGATCTACATCGAGCACCGGAACAACTCCTTTGGGATCCGGGCATAAACGAAGCGTTAGAAGACAACGAAGGTACATAGCAAACAAAAATAATTTAACTAAACTATATAAGTTTTTTTTTGGAACGAAGTTCCTTATGGTACGCTGCGGAGGGATACCCTAACCGGGAAAAAACGTCCGTAACGTAAGATTTTATGTTTGTTATCTCATAACTTTTGACTAGGTGAAACGATTTTGATGATTCTTTTTTTTTATTAGAAAGCTGACGCTTTCCGTGTGGTCTCATTTCAATTTAGTCCAGTTCTGACAATGGTATCGAAGAGAAAACCATATAAGCCTTAAATTTATAATATATAAAGTTTCTTTATACCTCGAATAGAATTTAAAATTAATATTTTTATAATAAGGAACCTCGTTCCTATCCGGTGTCCCACGACACCACACATCTTTTTTAATTAATCACCATTTTCTGTTACAGTACGAATGTTCATGGAACTAGCGATGTGTGCTGCTATGCCAGTCGGGGGGCACACAAGAGAATTTGCCTTACAAACTTTAGGAGAATGTGGCGGAGATATCAGAGCGGCCACTCTACGACTAATGTCAAGACCTGTGGTGCCATCGCAGCACGAGTCGCGTTGGGCGCCCGATGAAGTCGAAGCGTTCTTATCTGGACTAAGCCATTACGATAAAGACTTTTTTAGAATTTCGCAACTGGTAAGGCTCACTTCACTTTTTACTGGTGGTAGGACCTCTTGTGAGTCCGCACGGGTAGGTACCACCACCCTGCCTGTTTCTGCAGTGAAGCAGTAAAGCGGTTCGGTTTGAAGGGTGGGGTAGCCGTTGTAACTATACTGAGACCTTAGAACTTATTTCTTAAGGTACGTGGCGCATTTACGTGGTAGATGTCTATGGGCTTCAGTAACCACATAACACCAGGTGGACTGTGAGCTCAACTGTGACTTCAAGAACATAAAGACAAATATCAACCTGATAAAACTTTTTTTTTGCACAGAAAGTAAATTATGTTAACGAACAATAAAATATCTGGGTAATTTAAACGTTGATTACTTAAAAAACACTTTTAATATACTCAGGTTAGAACAAAGGACTCGAAGCAATGCGTTCAATTCTACTATTTTTGGAAGAAAGTAACAAAAGACTACAAGACCCAGTACCTAAGGAGTTGGTGTGCCGATCCGCATACATCACAAGTAAGCTATTCTCGACTCCAGAACTATATCTTCAAATTGTGTAACGAGTGAAGGGAGAGCCGTGACGGGATGTTAATACACGCGATTTTCTACGTCCAGGGTTCTGTAGCACAAGTAACTACACATAGCAACACCTCGTGCACCTCATCACCGACTTCATACGACAATGAGGAGTACCCATGCAAGATATGCGGGAAGTAAGTGCCGAAACACGGAGCACGCCAGCGTATCGCTTTGAATTTTATATTTACAATAACAGAATACGCTTACAAATGAGGCCATCAGCGTAAAAGTGGGCTAAATCACAATTTTTCAAAATTGGGTGCTTCTAAATTGCAATTTATTTGAAACAAAATAAATTTTGAGGCAAAACCGGCCTATCCATAGTTTCAGCGATACATAACATATGGGTTTGTAAATATTATTTTCGCGCGTATTGTTTTTGCCCACGAAGCAGTGTAAAAGTAAATTCAAACTTCGATATCTCCATACTAACTATGGTAAACTTAGGCCACTTTTGCGCTGACGGCCTGAAATAAACTTATATGTGAAAATTTAACACATAATTCGTTCTGAAGTCGTGTATATGTAATATGTTTTATATCAAATGAAAATGTTGAGCTGTTCAATATTCGTTTTACTTATATTTCAATGGTAATAAAAATACTAAATGAAAAAAGCGTATTGCGTCCCCAGAATGTAGATTATTATTATACAAAAGAGATGTATGTAAATATCAAATAAAATGTATTTCTTTTTCTTTTTTTAAATATATAAATCAAATCGTTGAAGCGTATAAATTATTTACATATTTCGTCATAAAAAAACAACATATATGTGTGAAAAGTACAAGATACATTATAACAGTTGTACTTGAACGTGAAAATGTAATTTTCTATACATTAATTTTAATATTCAAGTGTACTTAGGATAAAAATATTTTTGGTGTGTTAATGTTATAATATGCTTATATAAGTTTTTCATTCACTAACGCTTCACGCTTGGCTTCACTTTACTGCATTTTTTTTTTGTTGCTAATCTTTCGTTTGCTATTATAATAGTGTATCCCTGTTATGTTTCAGAGTATTTAACAAAGTAAAAAGTCGTAGTGCACACATGAAGTCACACCGGCCTCTCGACGCCGAAACGAAAAAATCAAAACTCGAAAAGCCTTATGAAAAGGCCGAGAAATCTGATGGCAGACATAACACAACAAACGAATTTCACAAAACGTTGTAACACATGCTGGCATATAAATTCGGCGGGTTCTTGTGAAATGCTAAAATGTTATTATTCTTGATTAAGATAAAAAGATCGCAAGTGCTATAAAGACTAAAATTTAAAAAAATATCGACTTGCATCGTTACAACAAAACTTTTTACTAAGCATTTTACAATAATGTCCCCTTTGCATTGTACGCTATTAAAATATGATACAATTGACACCCCGCTCATTCGCACAGCGTTGTAAAGATAGATTATACGCATAACATTTGGTTGTGAACCCGCTGGCCGAAACATGCCCCCCCCCCCGTGCACATTGTCGCCACCGACCCCCACTCACCACACACACATTGTTTACTCTTACTTGAACTGTTCAAGAAATAGCCAGTAAATGTTAGCCTCCAGATTTATCAACGAAGCTTTGTGCAATTATAGAGACCACTATTTTTAATTGCCAAAATTAAAAAAAAAACCTAGTGTCTGTGGATACTGAACATTTAACTCAAAGAAAAAGCTGATAATGATAATTTATTCTAGAACAAATCTTTAGTCAAATGCGATTTTACTTTCAATCATTTAAATTTTACCGTTATTTGTTTTTGGTAAAAAAAACTGATTGATGTTTTTAATTAAACAGCCATACAATAATATTTATAGTCTAGCTAATTTATTATTTAATTCAACTCATAGAGCACAAAGATATTTTGTATGACGATAGATAGATAAGTTTTGTCTTCGTAAAGTTTTATATGACAGATTTCTCAATGTGACTTGTAAGTGTGATTTTGTAAATAAAATATGAAGGTAGTTGGTTGTAATCGCTACGTTAGAGATGAGCTATCCAAGATTACTATTGATCTATTTAAGTATTACAACTATATTTCGTACGTGTGATACATAAATCGTGTAGTAACTACACTACCTCGTTTCTATTTAATTCATTCTATCGCGAGCACAGCTCGTAACTACTTTGTTATAATATTATGCTTGTTTGCTCATTTTCTTTTTAAATCCTAGTTGTTACTTATTTTAATTTATTATTTTTCTAGTCGTATTCTGTTTTTTCATGCGTATTTCAATAGTTATTTCGATTTAAGTATATTTATGTTACAATTAAATGAAATTCAACTATCTAATTTTTACATATCTAAGTTAATAATGCGTCTTCATCTGAAATATTGTATTTCTGTGAACTTTTTGGTACAAATTATTCTTCTTATATAAATAAATTAAATGAAAGGTATTTAAGTATATTTTTATTACAACGCGAAACAACGAAAATATAGTCCTTTAATTATATTATAGTGAATTCAATACAGTAAAAAATATATTATTAGTCATTCTTTTTACCAAAAGGTTCATAGAATCTTTACTACAAAAAAATGGAATGATATTTTTTTACACAAATATTATAAAATGCTCAATAAGTCACTATTTATATTTTACGTTAATAACATTATTCTACATAGTTAGTTCCTTGTTGATTGTTCTGAATGAAGCTCTCATTTGAATCTTATACAATATGTACTTAATTTACGAATGTACTGTTTATTTTATAATAATAGGAATGTTTGTAAGTGTACCTAAGTGTTGTGATAAATGTATGTGAGAATTGTTTGTTCGGTGCGTGCTATCTTTATGATTTAATGGTACAAAACAGGCAATTAACTTGCTCAAAATTAAATTTAAGAGTATTCACACGTATTGCCTGTACGCAAAACTGTATTTCGCTGCACCCAAAATTACAATAAATCATTTGAAACTCTTTAATACAAACGTAAGGTTGTGAAGTTGTAAATTACTCGTTTTGTCGTCTTCCGTAATATTGAATGATTAATTTTGGGGCAGAATTCCTTGTAAAAGACATGTTTAATGTATCATAAAAAATTATTCAATTTCTATAATTACTTCTACTACTAACGAAAAATTTTTAACATTAACTTATTATAACGATTTAAGCGTATGTTGTACATGTGTATGTTTTTACAGTACCACAAAATGTGTGTAGGTAGTTTTATTGAAATTTCTTATTGTGAGTGTATGTTAGACGTAACTGTTTGTTTTGAAAAATTCTAACACGTTTATAAATGATGTTTAAAATGTGAATGAAAGTTATTCGCTTTTATTTCGTGTACGGATATTATTAGAATTTAATAATTTAACTAAAGATGGTTTCCCATCCGCGTTAACTTGACACAAAGCTGCCAAATTATATTGGAAAAATTGAACGAACGAACTGTACGCCACTAACTCGTGTGATTATTTGGTTGTGTTATATAACATTGTATTAGAAAAAAAATCTAACGTTTTATTGTTAATTGTTATACATTAAGTTCTAACTGTGCCAAATATTTTGAAAACGCTCTAAGTACTTATAAATACATCATTTTTAGTTTAATTTGTTATTAGTATTAACTTACGATGTTATTAGCTAAATTATTTTCTAGTTGGTTATCTAATAGGGAAAAGCTAAATCAAAAATAAATAGTTTTTTAAGACATATTTTCAGTCAGAAATGTGCCATTTATTTTCATACAAATCGCATCATCTCTGCTAGGATTTGATAAGAACAATTATTAGTAGCTTATATTTTTTTCTTAACACGCTTCCTTTTAAATACAAAATATTTTTTGAGAATGCAAACCAAAATAATCTACTTCGTATATTGCGATTTATCAACGATAATTCCCTCCAGTAACATTTTACTCTTAGCCATTAAGACTGAAAACTTCTTTTTGGATTCAGCAAATTATAATTTCGTTGACAGCGCGTGATTTCAGCCTTGTTTAATGTTTTTATTGATCAGTTTAATTAACCCATTCCGCGTGCCAACTCGTCATCCTAGTCAGGGTATAGCTTACGTAGAATATGCCCTTAAATTAGTTAAAAAGATTAGAATCATCGTAAGTTCGATATTTAGATCGCAACTACCGTAGACTACACTAGCAAATGCCCGCTGTATTCTATAGATAATGCACAAGAAACGCTAATTTATCTAAATTATAAGAATGAAGATTTTAACCAAAAAAAAAAATTATTTCAACTTAAATATAGAAGTGCCTTACGATTTAATTTTTACACTGTTTGTTTTATTTAGTTTACAAGAGCAGTGGTTTAATGCATTTATTGTTGGTATTATCATTCACTCTTCGCTCTGTCATGAGAGTGAAGATTAGTGAATCGATCGTATCTCCATCGTTATTTATTATTTTATTTATTAAATATAAACAATAAAAAATATAAAATTTAGAAAATTAAATTAAAATTAGATTATGGAAATAAATAGAAACATTCATTCATCAGATATTATTTTGAACGAAAAGAAAGAATATTATGTATCCTTTACAATATCTACGAGTCAATTCTATGAAGAGTTCATACATAAAAATAATAATGTACATAAGTCGATAAGTTATTATTTTGTTATAAATTCCCAAACAAAGAATACAGCACTAGGAATATATTTCTACGAGTGTTACCAGCTCCTGAGTATTGTTTAATTTCGCTTCGAAGAAATGACGTCCTTATTATCTGACACTATTTTCTGTAATATATTAAATGGCACATAGTGTAAATGTAAGTACTTCTGTATTCGTGTCAACACATGAGAATGTTATTATAGTATTAATATTTTATAAGTCTAAATGCATAATATATTCTTCTAATTTTGTATCGGTCAGAGTGCAGGGCGTCGGGGAATCCTCTCGAGTCGCCGGGCGCTTAGCTGTATTTGTACGTACCTAATACGTAGGTATATGTGTACTTGTAATATAATTGTAGACGGTGAACTGTCGCGTGCCAAACGCACGATAATTGATATTACACTCTGTGTTGTGATTTTGATCGTTCTGTAAAATACAAAATGAATCTTTTAAAAGTACTATGAAAGTTTGTAGACACATTTTTAGATTAGCTAATTTCTTCGCATAGACATGTTAGGTCGTCATTGATTAAGCATTTAGATTAAACATTGTAGTAGCGTGTAATTGGATGATGTAAGTGTATTGCGTTTAGATTCATTGTTATATTCAATAAATGTGATCATTGTAATGAACAACGAGTAAGCTCGAGTCCTGCCCTCGTGCCACTGGGCGACTCTTCACAACTTCGCATATCTTTGAAACAATAAGTAATAAAATTAAACTCTATTATTTATATTGATAAATTTATTAGGATAACTAATTTTTTAAGACAATGACTATTACGTGATCTTTTAGATTGTCTTTATTAATAAATATATGGTGAAGGTTTTGTGAAATTGTTTTTATTTTCCTGATCGTGCCAACCCTACTTGTAACTTATCTGTGAAAATAAAATATTTTTTCCTAATTACACATTGGAGTTTTTCTACAATAATTAAGTCTGTCAAAAAAAAGAATATCCTCAGCATTTGTTACAAGGAAATTAAAAAAGTTAGTCTTTACGAGAAAGGTTTCGATATGTATTCAGAATTAGACAGTCGAAATTATTTCAATTTTAAAGAAAGTTTGAAAATATACACTTCAAACTTATTTAAAAAAACAAACAGGCTAAACTTTGCTTTATGGTCCGTCAATTTGGAAGCTCACAATTTTTTCGTACTCATAAATAGAAATCTTTTTGCCAAATTTCAAGTTGCGGAAACTCACAGTTTACGCGATATATTTTTTTAAAGTTTCCACACAAATTGGTAAAATCGTCAAGGTAGGCGTCAAAGTTGACGTTTCACGTTCCATTCACGATAGATGTGTATTTTATAAAATTTTATGTCATGTTTTTTACCTGAATATATTTTATTATTTTGATATATTCATATATTAAAGTTGGTGTAATTTATGTGCACAGTAGTTGTGGCTGTGGTATGCAATTATATTGACTGTTTTACACAAAAAATAACGAATTTTGCTTACACAGTGAAACGGAACGTAAAATGCATTTTTTTATAGCGTCTTTTTATCTGTCCGTTATAAAATATCTTTAAAAATTAGATTAAATATAACAATAACATAATTGGTCGTGTTTTAATAATAAAATTGCATGAATATCCGGAAATATATAAAATCGGATCAGTGCACCCTGCTTTTCACATGGTCTTGTCTGCCCTACCTGGCCCTACCCCTAGAGTATACATATATAAAAAAAACGCGAGGCGCGGAGGGAGAGCAGTCCCGAGCAGAGCTGAGGCTGGTCGCCGGAGACGACCATCAAGCCGAAGCTGAGGAGAGGAGCATAAGTGACCATGCTTCGGCACACTAGGGCGGAAGGGCTGCTCTTCCCGCAGCGCCGGAGATAAGGCGGATTCAAACTGGGGGTGGAGAAAGAAGCTCCCTTTGAGTTAGACTAAATAATACTATTTAAATCTAAAATATCAACCATGGATATCTTCATAACTATAAGATTCTGCGGGTCAGTGTCGGTGCAGGGGGTTAAGACCTTAAACCCCTTCCTACTCAACTCAAAGATTGATAGACACTAATTTACATTATAACCCTATTTTGAATAAATAAGGCTATTCTAGCGTTAAATCATTAACCGTGGATATGTTCATAACCATGGGGTTCCGCGGAGTGGGGAT